TGATGGCCAGCATGTACCACTTACTCATACAGCCTCTCATGCCTCTCATATCATCCTTCCCTTTCTGGACAGTTCTCCAGCAAGGCTGGAAGGAGTAGAAAAGATAGAAGGCTAATTGATCAGGAGGTTCTCAAAAACTTCAAGAGGAACAAAGAATGATGTAGATAGATGCAGGACAGATTTTTCTAGTCATGCAGTCTTAATATTCATGTATTTTTAAGACTCTCCTCTTGGGTTTCCTTTGTTTTCCTGTATAGTGGCAGGACTAGGTTTTATACAAATCTGTAGTTAAATCAGTCTCAACAAAAAGTTGGAACAATGAGATGCAGCAATGGGTGAAATATTACACAAGTATGTTATTTCTGCCTTTATTTTGTTTGAGTGGTGAAAAAAATAGGTGACTTAAATAAGGGAATTGTATTTCCTTTTGTCCCAAGTAATGGTTAGAAGAAAGCTTCTCTCCCACATCATCCTCTAAAACTGTTTCCACCACAGGTTCAAGCATCTGGACCTCCATGTCCCATGGGAGATGTGTGGAACCTATACCAAAATAAACTAGCCAGATTGTTTTCCTCTGAAACATATTTGGTCTCTTTAAGGTCATTATGTAAGAGACTCTGCATTAGACATTATCCACATGATGTTAATTGTAATATAATCAAAATCTATTGAAAAAAGGCATTTCCTCCCTATGGGCTTTTAAAATTCATTACTGACCACTATTAAGAGAGTGATATGTCTAATTCTGTGACTGATGGAGCATATTATCTTGTCTGCTACCTTATATATTTCTGTGGCAAGTAATCATAGCAATTATTTTAGAGAATACTCTGTTGGTTCCTGCTAATAAAAAAGAAAATATCCTTGCAAAATAAGCAGCCTCTTAGCTTTGAAACAATGTTGTTGTGATTTATATGACAGCTGCCAGGTGTTGTGCTGAAGGAGCTAGACTGAATAAAAATATAAAAACAAAATGCTTGAACTAAAGTTTAAACTATTTAAAAATAACCTGTTGTGCTCCCTTTGTTTCCACTGCCTGGAAGTGTTAAGTGCCAGAAGTGTAACACTTGACATTTGAGGCAGACAAACATAGCCCACAGATTTTGTGATTGCTTTGCAACCAGCTAGCATTTTTTAATCATGCCTGTTCTTGTCAACACTGGGGGTTGTTTCTAAACAAGCCAGCTAAAAATGGGAATTAAATTTGTTTTCTTGCTCATTTTCTGAGGCTACAGAAACCCTAGAAACAAGAAACCTCTATTTTCACTGCTTCTCTCTCCAAGACCCACACTTTCTAACAAATTCACACTCTTGTTCTCCTGTTGGGTCAAGAGGAGGCAGTGAAGGCACTGTGACTCTAAGAGTGTAGATTCATTTTTTCCTCTGGCAGCAAAGGTGATTTAGGAGTTTCTTGCCAAATGGCTCTGCTTCTTATTGCTGCCCAGATGCCACCACTCACAGGGCAATTGTGCTGAGGCAGCTGTTTGTTGAGCTGTGCTGGAATCAAATCATTCAAATGGTCCAGGTTTAAAAATATCTTCCTTCACCTCAAAAAAACCAACAAAAAAATTGATGTCATTCCAGTGACATTCCCATTCTTAGCACATCCCTGCAAAGAGCTGCAGCAGTGCAAATGGGAAGTGAACCACGGAAACAAAGCAGGAAGAGGTGGATGGGGACCCAAGGTGCAGAACCTGCTTTGGTTAGCATTGCTGCTTCAGAAAACATTCATATAGGTTGTAACCAACCATCTCTCCGTCTGCATTAAAGTGATTATGAAGACCCTTCACCTTTCCTCCCCACTTCCTAAATTTAAGAGTTAGTGATCTTGTAAAAATAAAAATGCAGTCAAAATTCTCAAATCCTATCAAGCAGTTTTCTGATATTCTGAAATACTTGGCTGGGATCTCCCTTGTGTATTTACTTAAAAGACAGACCTAGTCTAACTTAGTCACACAGAGCATCTCCAGAGTCAGTAGAAAGAAACAGGTACCTCCAGAGGGCAATCCACTTCTTTGAGGATGGGACAAATCACCCTTTGGTTGTGCCTTTCTCTCATCACTCCTGTTGAAGGAGATTAATCCAGTTTGCTTGAATGGATATCTCATTTCTGGATGACTCAAGTTTGGCAATATGGATCCCAGGGTCTGTACCTAAAGGCAACAGAGATTCATGGTGGTAGAGCAGAAAATGATGTGTTGACTTCAATATCTAGAAGGCCTAGACTTCATATTTTTCCCCAGCATAAATAGGATAACTGCTGGGACCTAATAAATGAAAATATTATGACAAAGCCATCCCACTCACCTCTTTCCTCCTCTCCACACTCTTTTACAAGAACCTTATACAGATTTAAGTAGACCCCTGTTTAAGGAAGCAAATACTGACAGAAGCTGAATAACTACAACTTTGAAAGTACTCATCAGGCTCAACTCTGAGATCCTTATACTGTTTATTCATACAAATTCTAGTATGCCAGATGCTGAGGAGTGCTGAATGGCTGCTCAGTGGGAATTGTGGTTGCTCAACACCTCCAAAGAACTGGCATGTAAACTCCAGCCTGGACTTTGCTTTTATGGGAAAAACAAAACCAACCATCAGTCATGCATGTTGTACTTCCCTCCCCACTTCATGAGCTGACCTGGGGAAAATTCCTGGTGCTTACTGAAAGCATCATCTGATGTCACTCAACACCACAGGGGAGAATATAAATCAAAGTGTAAGTATTCAGCACTCTCTCAGCATTGGCCTAATGTGATTAATGTAATCTGAGGTAAACACTTTAGTTATTTCTTATTACTCTTAGGGACCCAAATCAAGGGTTGGGACTTGTTAATCTAGGTAATGTGAAAAACAAGCCCTACCCATGAGATCTCCAAGGCTAAGATAAAGCTCAGGTAGAAGCTTGACAAAAGTTACTTAATAGCAATGGACAGACATGATGAAGTGTTGAATCTGAACTGTCTTAAAGGCATGTGGCAAGGGCTGTGCCATGCTCAGCACAAAGCTTTCCTCTCTCAGCAGAGTAGAGTTGTGGTAACAGGGAGAGTAAGGTAGTCCAGGACAAGATTCCAATGAACTAGAGAGCTGTCAGGTGCCTGAATCCCAGTGACACTGAGTAGACCTGCTTCTGCATTCTGCCTTTCAGAATCACATCCTGGTTCCAAAAAAAGTTGTTTTCTGTAAAATCTACAGTTGAAACCTTTGTCTCAGACAATCCCCAGCACACTGTATAACTCTGAATTGTGCAGGCTGCTGGTGGAAGGGGGAAACAGACTTAATAACATGGACGGAGTTGCTTCTGGCACCTTTTGGTGGTTTCTTGTCTTACATGAAGAGAGTGTACCTCAGTCACTGGACGACTCAGAGCACAAACTCTGAAGTGTCACAGGTGTGAAAACACAAGTCTAATAGCCAGGGAATGTCCATATTATCAGTTTTGTGCTTGCTTCTCTCCTGGCTGGGTGTGATGGAAAACAATAGCTCTTGGAAAGGCACATCGAGGTATTGCAGACCGGCAGCCTGCTGAGTCCAGAGAGCTGCAGGGAGCAAATGCTTCATCCAGCCAAACCCAGTGGGAATCTGTTGGAGCTCCAACATTGTTTTGCTGACACAGGAAGATGTCATCACAGCAAAATATGAAGGAGTTAACACATTATGAAATACAGTTTTGGCAGTGATGCAGACAAAGATTGTTTTGTTTGAAATGCAGTACCAGCAGTGTTGGTTAACAAGGTAATGCAGTCACCTTGCCAGTCTAAGTTATTACATTGTGCCTTTTTTTTCTAACATGTTAGGTCCAAATCCTATGAAACAAGCTGTGTAATTTTAAGCCCATAGATAGTACTTTGCTTCAAAGTTAATCTTGATTTAATGTAAATTTCTGTATAGTAGCTGGTTAGAATAGCAAGTGGAAGTGCTAAAGGAAGCCTGTATTGCACAGGAAGAGAAATGACAAGGTATCAGTGTGGGTTTAAGTAAAAAAAAAAGGAATAAAAATGTAGGAATTTTGTTTTAAACTTCTTGCCAGTCCTATCCATTTACAGAGTGAGAAGTCAGGAGGGCTGTCCCATGCCTGCTTACACACACTGCTGAGGGCTCGGTGCACAAAATTGCACAACCAGTTTCAAAATTACTCTTGGCTGGTGCAGGCACTCTGACTGCCCTTCCAAAAATAAAGGCAAAATTTTCAGCACCACAGAAGACTCATAAACCACCTACACTCCTACATCTACCAAGATCAAGAGAGCCCTGAATCCCATATAACTCAGAAAGTCTAGCCATGTATTTACTGCTGAAACCTGACTTTTATAATCAGGTTGAAAGGTTTCCAATTACACTGGTCTGTCAAACATTCAACTAATTTTAGAAATTCCTTTAATTAGCAGCTACAGTATATCATGTCCAGATTCATTTTTCTACTGTACGTGTAGGATACCTATGCAAACAAAAACAGGAAATAAACAGAAGCTTTTATCTCTGTATTATTTATTTCCTGTTCTTGATCTGAGTGAAACTGAAGTGAAATAAATATCAAAATTCTTTAAAGAAAAAAAAAACAGAAAACACATCCAAGGCAGATTTCATAACAGCAGAACAAGAACCATTTTGAGTGGCAATGCACTGGCAATAACTTTTGGCTTTGGTTCACATCAATCTGGAGGCCCAGCTACACAAGCCAAGCTGGCTCAGAATCTCTTCTGAACAGGCATTAATCACCTTCAGTGCTATAATATTCCAGAGGTCCTAATCGGGACAGCCCTTTGCACAGATGTAACATACTCACCTGGCACAATCCTTCCTCTGCCAGTGGTCATGGCAAAAGTCCCTCTGACTTCTCTGGTGTTAGAAGTCTGGCTGGCCTCCCCAAATTTCCATGCTCCCTGCCTTTTCCCCTCTTTCCCACTTCATTCTCTTTTCCTGCATGTTGTGAAATCTTAAGGATTTTAGTGCAATTCATATTTTCCTCTTCCCTTTGTCAACCTTTTCTTCCTTTGCAGACTGGTCCTGAACCATACGCTCAAGGACGAGTGGAGGAAGCGCCTGTGAGCAGTGAGAGGGGTGACGAGCCGGCTCGTCATGTTTTCTCCTTCTCCTGGTTGAACTCACTGAATGAATGATGACTCACTCTGGCTGGCTTCTGGTGTGCTTCTCCTGGGAGGGACCGTGAGCACAGGCAGCCTGGCTGCAGTCAGCAAAGAAACTGGCCTGGAAAGGGGCATCCGAGCAGGTTTCATTCCCAGGAACTCAGTTGGCCTCCACATCATACCCTTGAGATGATAGATCTGAGAGGGATGGGAGCATGGGGACAAATTACTATACTATATTGTAGTCAAAGTGTTTTCCAATAATTTTTTACTTGCAAGGGGAAAGTAGCATCACTACAGCTTTACCCTGAGCACTGCTAGTGTTTTGTTACTCACCTTTTGGCACATCCCCTCATAGGGGTAAGCGCTTCATCAGTGCTGTTAGCTAAAATGCTGGTATGATATTCACTAATAGCACCCTTTGCCAAACCAATGTTTCTTCTGAATATCCTCCTGTATCTCCACTTGTTGGTGCTGGGGACTTCAGTGACACTATCACATCCTTGGCAGCCCCAAATCAGGGTTGTGTCTGACCAGTGCCTCCACAACTGCGGAACACGGGAGGAAAGAAGGAAGCTACCATTTCTGCCTTTGGACTTGCTCTTCCTGCTAAGCCACAACAGATGACGCTCACATAAACAAAAAGCACCAAAAGCACTGGCCAAGACCCCAGGTGTGGATGCAGGACACAGCTCTGAATATGTGGGGCAAATGCTGTAGCGCTGCCCAGCCTGTCCAGCCATAATCTGTGTCTATGTCTTCTCAGTCATCAGTGTGTGTAGAAAAGGGGGCATGTTCTTACATGAAATCAGAATGCAGTGAGGTGGTCACAGGTACTCAGTCAAGGTTTAATTTGAAATCCCAATGGTGCACTGTAGAAAAGGCAGATGCTGACTGTCCTGTTCCATGTGCCTTGTAGATATTTATCCACCTAATGAAATCAAATTTGTGTCTTAAAAGAAGTTCTAGAAGTTCTATTTAAGGTGGCATTCTGCAATTTTTGTCACTGGGAGCAGGGTGTCAACTCTCAGTAGTGTTTAAGAGAGATTGGAAGGCTGCCGGGAGTGCTTGGTGCCATAGGGACCAGGTGTCAAGTTCTGCACTAGGGTTACATGTGGATCTTTCCCAGATCCCTGAGCCAGGCCCTCAATGCAGTTTTGTGTGAGGTCGTAGGGCTGCGCTGTGTCCCAGCAGGACTGGTGAGCTGGCAGTGCAGACCAGTTAGCAGGCTGTGTGGGGTTAGCCCCCGTCCTGGACATCTGCCGCTATTGGCCTGAGTGACATCAGCCCTCGTTGGTATCTGTTTTCCCCGGAGAACGCTCCTGAGAGAGTTTGTCGGGCTGCACAGGCGAGCTCCGCGTAAATATTTGGAACTCTCACAGCCCAGAGAGAGCGCCGCCCAGCACCGCCACCGCATCGCCTCCGGCTGCTGGAGCAGCTTTTCTCTGGGATTTGGTTCGGGGTGAGGGATTTCCTATATTCTCCCAGTCGTCCTGGGAGATCTCCCCTAGCTCCTCTGGCATTTTCTCCACACATACTCAGAGCCCCTGGGAAGGAGCCCTCTTGGGCACTTCCGCCGGGACGGGGGAAGCCAAAGCTCGGAGGAATCTGCCCTTTTAGGGCGCGGGGAGGATGTGCAGAGCCAGAATGAAAACGCAAAAGGGATGAGGGAGCGCCTCGCCGCTTTCCCATCGCTGCGCTCTGGCGGGAGGAGGCTGCCCGGCCCCAGCCACAGCGGTAGGAGCCAGTGAGCCCCCTCGGGGGGCTGCCGAGATGGGATTCGGCGGTGCTGGGAGGCATCGATTTGCCCTCGACACCCCGTTCTCGGGAGTAGCCTGTGCCGAGGGCGGCGACGTGGGGCAGGCCCCCGTCGGGGCGCACCTCTGGGAGAGCCGACGTGGGACGCGGGGCTTCCCGGGCGGGGACGGGGAAAAAACCACCCCGGGGGCTATATAGGGCTCCCCGGGAGCCCGCGGACGCGGGTGCCCCCCTACGCTCCGGTAAGCGCTGAAGGAGGTGGAGCAACCCTTAGGCGTCTAGGCAAGAAAGTCTATCAAGTCGTCTTTACTTTGCAGCTTTTATTAAAAATATAAATATTAAACATTCTCTTACACAACCAAATCGACCGAGCGCTGAAAAGATGTTTTATTGTGAAAATGTTTACAGGAAAAAAAGTGAATTGAAAGTAGCTTACAGAGATTCCCCCTCCCACCTCCCTGCCCCTAGCAGAAAAGTTTTCTGTCTTCTTGGCACCATTTCTTCCAATGCTCACACATCCCTACGTAGCGATGGCACTAGAATAACTGGGAAATGGAGAAATAAATAAAGGTAGGGGAGGTTACGAACGACACTCGAGTTTCTGCACTTGGTACACGGTTGTGCATGCTAGTCAAGGGACAGAGGCTGTTCGGAGCACACCCTTCTAGGTTTAAAGCTATATAAAAATAAAGAGATGACATCAGAGCAGCACTATGGTACATCGGACGGTGTAATTATTCTTGTGCTAACTGCGGAATCTCTTTGGCAAGGTGGGGCGGGGCCGTTTCACTTCCCGATTATCTCCATCAGTTTCCTGTTGCTGTGAGCTTGCTGGGCTAACTGCTCGGCTCGGGCCATCTCCAAGACTTCTCGCAGGAGGTGGAAAGTCAGATCCAGAGAAATAGGGGGCTCCTCGGATCGCTTTTCCCTCTCCACGGCCTCACCCTCGGCTTCGCCGTTCTCGGGGCTCCCCGGCGAGCGCTTGGGCAGCTGCTGCAGCTGTTGCACCGCCGCCCGGAAAAAGTTGCTGGCGGAGGCTTCGGGCTGTAGGTGGCTGGTGCTGCTGGAGGAGGCGGAGAAAGAGCCAAGGGGTCTCTTGTGGAGGTTGCCCAGGCGCAGGAAATACTCTTCTCCCATGCGGAGCAGGACAGGCAGAGTTTGCTGCTGCTGCTGTTGCTGCTGCTGCTGTTGCTGGAAGAAATCTGGCTGGTGCAGAGCCCCGGGGGCGGCTGCCGGACTCTTGCTGAGAGCTCTGCACTCCTGGCAGGGCAGGAGGGCGACCAGCAGAATTCCCGTGGAGACCAGCAGCGAGATCTTCATGGTCGGGGCCCAAATCTGCGGAGGCAGATGAGGAACGGGGATTGGGTTACATAGCCGAGCCGCAGCGGCGGGGAGGGCAGCG